AACGCGATGACGACAGTGCGATGGCGACAGTGCAATGACGACAATGCGACAGTGCGATGGCGACAGTGCGATAACACTATCGCTCTGTCGTCATCGTACTATCGCGTTATCGCAATCGCACTGTCGCATTGTCGTCATCGCACTGTCGCATTGTCGTCATCGCACTGTCGTATTGTCGTCATCGCACTGTCGCATTGTCGCCCTCTGTATTTTAACGTATAACCAAGATGGCCCTAACGGTATTCCGTAATGTTCAGTAATCAAGAGAGGTTTAAACATACAAATAATATATTACAGATAAGTGTTAAAGGGGCAGCAATCAGATTTATAAAAAGGAGATAACTAAAAATTAAACTGGACAGAGTTATCGTTATTGCACATTTCAAATCTATCATTGTCTACTATAACGTTGTATATGAATCACTGACCCTAAACTTTCCACTTAAATACACAGCTAAAGTTAACACAACAGCTTCCTATGAAATTCAGAAGAATTCAAGACAGGTGTTGCTAAGAAATGACGCAGATAAATTTTGTTTTTTGAATAGGCATTAACAGGGCATCACTTTTGTGAGAAAGGTCATTGAACTCAATCTAGTCAAAGAACTTTCCATGAAAAATGTCACTTTCCTTCTGGCTGATAATGAAATCCTTTCAACGTTCATTCGCACTGTAACTCTGCTCTGGCATGTAAGAAGTATATAAGTTCCTTGCAAAAATGATAGCACTAGTAATGTTAAACTACTTGGCAGTCTGAACAGGAACAATGCGATGGCTGAACTGTGTCCTGGTAAATTTAAAGTGGCTTACTGCCGTGATGCAGAGGGTAAACCACAGTTGTCACAACCATATGACTGACCAATTGTAGACTAGATCACTGTCATAAATGAAAGCCAGCTTAGTGTTTAATATTAAGTAGACTATATAATTATATAAAACAAATTTATTTTCTCATTTTATAAAACAATATGTGATATTAAATCAAGGTATATATAAATGCATAAGAAAAACAATATCTTTCAATTTCAGACATAAACAAAGCACTAATACAACATAATATTGTTAGTATGATATTTTTGGAAATATTCATGAGACATATGGAATATCTTTCCAGTAATTCACTCTAGTTAAAATTGTATATGTACATGTATTTGTTTTAGTTTGCTTTCCTTTAAAAAGACTGTTCACTGAATTTGGAGTATAGTGATAAAAATATTGAAACTTTCAAAAAGATTTCTTCAATGTTAAAATAGTTTTGCCTTATTATACAGGCAATGCAACATTTGACTTGTACTCTTAAACAAATATTGACAAAGTAAGTAGATATATTTTGCTTGACAACAAATGAAATGCTTCTGTCAATTTCCACATCAAGACACAAATATTTGTTTAATAATCCGGGTAACTCCAGAGCAATTTAGCCTACATGATATTCATTTTAAAAAGGTTCACATATATTTTTATTTAGCAAAGCCTCAACAAGAATTGCAATTTATAGTCTATGGACCAGAGCTTCCTAGGATAGAATAATCATAATGATTTGAAAAATATCGTATCCATGCAAAGATGTCCTGAACTAAGCTTCAAGTAACATTAAACTTGAAATCACTTAAAACAATAATAAAGTATTAAAAAATTAAAACAGGTTATGTCCATTACACAAAGATAGCAGGATAACAGGATCAAAATGTTAAAGCTACTATTCCACACTTGTACGAGGGGCATATTTTAATTAGTGGCAACGGCAGCGCGTTTTTATAAATAAGTCATACCTGCAAAAATTGATTGTAAAGTCCTTGAAAATATTCACCACGGACACTCAAAATCCATTCTGAAAAAAAGCATTCTTGAACTGTTCTGTATACCGTTTATACAATAGTTAAGTGCACTCACGACAACACTACGGGTTTTAAACCGACGACCGCAAAGGCAAGATTTAATGTATGGATGTTGTCTTACTATTATTATCTTTTTGTAAGCTCTGTATCAAATATTTAAAATCGAAGAATGCTGAACCACGAAGACTTGATTAATTTTCAAGGAATCTTAAAGTTGATTAATGCTTCTTTAATTGTAGTTGTGACTGTGTTAATCTTTGAAATGTTGACTTTTTACAGCTTACTTTCACTTAATTTTGCATTGCCTGAATTTTTGTTTTCACAGGGATTTAAATTAATTGGTCTTATGCCACACCTACACAGAATAGGTCATATGGCGACGTTCCAGCTTTATTGGTGGACGAATACCTCAGGTGCACTTCCTTGCATTATTTCAGGCACAAACAGGCACCAGACTACAACCAACGACGTTCCGTAAGCTAGCTTGATAGCTTCCTCACATGAAAGAATCCGAAGTCCTTGTCGGGATTCGAACCCACAGCGGTTAGTGGCAAGTAGTTTGAAGTCAACGACCTTATGCATTTGGCCACGGACGCCAGAGTTAATCCCATATATATACATGTATAAGGGAATAATAATTAAAATAGTAGATGAAAATACATTGTTTAACTGTAATGTTATTTATTTCTTTATTCTTAATGACGGTATCAATTGGTGTTTTAAAATAGATACCAGTATTCAACTTAATAAATCAACTACTTTTACTTTTTAGAAATGTTCAACACTTATTACGAACCCATTACAAACATTTAAGATAACGGAAAAAGCCAAACCATACTACCTTCAATATTATTAGTTTACACTAGAAAGTATGGTAAAATAGTTACGCTTATGAAAACCGTACATTGAAGATAAACTAAAGCTGAAAATATGGCCGTAGATGGGCGTAATTTTAGTCAGTCTTTGTATCAAGGATCGGACATAGAACATGATTTTCCGTGTTCTCCCTGTTCTATAGAAGGGAAGAATGTCCCTGCTTTTAAATATTGTTTAGAATGTGACGAAAACTTGTGTCAAAAATGTTTGGGTGATCACAATAAGTTTTCATCTATGAGAGGACATCAGTTACTAGACACGGTAAAACAGCTGAGCGGGATAAAGCAGGAATTACCAAGTCAGAGATGTGAGAGACAATTGATAGATGTCCACTGCCTTTGTCATGGTGATGGCGTTGGTCATCTGGATGTTTATACTCTTTCTGGGAAATTGGTTTTTATCTCATTATGATGAGATTAATTTGCCGGTAGATGTTACAATCTCAAACACTACAATGGAGATTTTCAAGATCCTAAAGGTATCCTTAACATAAATGAAAATCAAGCATAAGGCCCATAAATGTAGATAACAAAATATTCATGAATCCCCGTTATATTTGTAAGATAATCAAACGTCAGTATTGCACTGTTTTTCATAAGTCAGACAGTTTTCTTTTAATGTCACATGACGGAAAGGATCAGGTAGAACTCACAGTAAAGACTTGTAGTTTCCTATAGTTTCTTATTGGGAAAGTGATAAACTCATATTTATAAACTTTAAAGATTAGTGTCTAATTTATCATAAAACGAGAAATGAAACTTGTTACATTCGTGAATCTTTAGGTATTTTCTTTATGAAACCTGAAGTATCGCTTACGGAATAAGGAAGGTGAATCACTGAAAACGTTTGTAATCGATGAAGAAGTGGCGAAATATAGTTTTTATCGTGAATTACTGTAACCCAACGAATATTCGCGACCAATTAATATTCGCTTTATTCGCTGATGGCCACGAAGCGCGAATATTTGTTTGCGCGAATAAGTCCGCATGATTTCGCGAATAAATTGGAGAGATTTTTTTATTTTAGACGTTGTTCATGCAAAGCTACTTGACCGGATATATTCCAATCTTACGGGCACCTGTTAGGAAGTAATGAATTGTTATTAATATTGCCATAAAGCAATAAAAACACAAACTAAGTAAACTACTACTATTTTATAAATATCAAAAGAACTCCATGTCAATATAGCTATCAAAATAAACATCCACATTTTAATGCAGTTTATGAAATACTAGTAGGCCTATTGTCAATCATGTTCCGTGATCACAAGTCACTTACCAATACAATATAAGGCTAGCGTATTGTTAATCCCATTTAAGACACCAATAATGACCTCAATTATTGAAGATTAATAGTCGGCTAATGGATTTTACGGCCCCATCGGACTTTCCAATCCGCGAATATTTTTTTCCGGAAATCAAGAAAACGCGGAAATTAATATTCGCGAATATGTCCGACCTCGGCAAAACGCGAAAATTTGTATTCGCGAATATAAATTGGGTTACAGTACATAAAATTCACACACTATGTACTTATCTGTCAGCATCTTATTAAAAACATATTGTTTTGAAATGATTACGAGTGTGTCTCTTTATTAATTAGATTAATTTTAAATTAGAACGTATAGGATAAAATACTGTAAAATGTTAACAAGCGAGGTTTTACATACGCTTAAAATGGCAAACTTTAAGAAATGCCAAATAAAAATGTCTTAAAGGGGTAACGTTTCCACACGGAAATATTTACGTTATTCTTGTGCTCGTTTTATACTGTGACAGGACAGGTACGCTTAAGTCAATTAATAAGGGAAAGCTTAAACAACAATTGTGCCAGGAATCTGACATCGTACTAGTTTATCGTAATACCTTGGACATTTATTAATAATATCTCGATTTAACGATATATAAACTTTTAATAAGCAAAGGGTCAATAATAAAGCCTTAAATTTGAGCGACCTTCAATATATTTGATACGGCATAAAAAAGCAGCAGATCCGTTACCAATATATAAACAAAATTATGATAATAAAACACGTGTGACCTCGCTTTACTAAATAAAAGGCTGTTATCCCAGAACAATGTTTGCATAGCACTATCCCAATCATCTCAGAAGAAAAAATACAAAACGGAGACAATTGATCACTTAAACAAAAATAGAAATATGTTGCAACTAAATAATAATAAAATGAGTCACATAGTGTCCGTGAATGTTTTATGTACATTCATTTATGACTTACAAAATAAAACATGTTATTCCGCAGTAAACCGTGCACCTTATAACACGATGAGTTATGTCGCATAAGTGACATGTGTATATGTAAAGACAGATGTATTATTATGACAGACTACACGAATAAATGTATAAAGAAAATGAATGATTCCTTCCAGATCATATCTTCGCTGAATGTTACTGACAATCCTGTTGGTATTTGTCAGATAGACTCGTCACTGCTGGCTGTTACTCTCATAAATGATATGGCAGTTCAGTTTATCTCTCAGAAAGAACCAATGAAGCTACAGCAATCTTTCAAAGTCGGCAATAGATGTCGGGGTATTGCGTATAATGACAAGATGCTTTATGTTTGTTGTGGCGGAATCGAGGATCATGAAGGTGTTGGTCATCTGGAGGTATATTCTTTATCCGGAGCATTGTTAACATCATATTATGGTGAGATTGAATTACCTACACGTGTAGCAATCTCGAGCTCTGCAGCGGAGATTTTCGTGATTGATGGATATAAAGGTATCCTTCACATAGATAAAAACCAAAGATTCATTCCTGTAGATAACAAAGCATCAAAGAGTACTGGTTGTATTTGTAAGATAAACAAAAGTCAATTTTGTGTTGCTTTTTGTAATTCACACAATATTCTTTTGATGGCTCGTGACGGAAAGGTTCAGGTAGAACTCTTAAGAAGGAAAGATGGTATAATAAATCCAATTGGTTTATGTTTTGATAACAAAACTTCGAGGCTTCTGGTTTCTTGTTTTGAAAGTGACAACATTATGGTATATACTTTAAAAATAAGTAATTGATATGCCATAAAAGGAAAAATAAA